GCCACCACCCGCCGCCGTCGACACCTCCGCCGATACGACTCGCAGTCAACAAGCCGTAAAAGTCAACCGCGACCAGATGGACGAACCTGCAGATCATTCCGGGGCCCACCTGAAAGGTGCAGACGAACTCGCCGCGGATAAAAACTGCCGGAGTTACAAGGTTGTCAAGATTCCGGCGCTTACGATAAGCCACATCCCTACTCAGAAGGTTACAAGTAAAAGTAATTATTTGTACAAGTGATCCTTGTTTTAGGGTTAGGATTTTATGTACGTTGGTTTTTTTTTTTGGCTTTCTTTTGTAGAGCTTGTTAATTAATATTACATAGATTAAAGATTTTTTTTAATGATTTTTGTAACTATTATTTTATTTAATTTCCTCATGTCATTGATTTAATTTGTTGTTCATGGAAGAAATTTACTTCAAGATCTAGCCTAAATTATGTATTTTGTTTAGCATGAAATTCAAATTTGTGGTTTATATGTTACCTCGGAAATTAGATGTTACACCTAGTTATTTACCGTGTGTTGATTTGAACCGTAGATCTACGTATAATCAAACAACCGGATGTATCATCTAACTACTCATGTTACCCTTATCGTTTATGGTTTGACCGACGCGGAGAAAATTACAATATATGATTGAAATTTACCTCTAATTTTCTCTCAATTAATTGTTTGTTTTGTTTGCGCAAATCAATTTTTGAAAGAATTATGAGTAGTGGGGGCAAAATTGAATAAAATTATAATATATTGTTGAAATCGTAAAGTAACAGATAATGTGGAACATAAAAAAAATCTACAAAGATAATTACTTGAGGACGAAGGGGAAAGCTGGTGAATAAGCATTTATATAATCCATGCATAATAATTTTATTTAGCATTCAACTTGTTATAACCTTTCTATTTTTTTTTTCAAATTAAAACTCAATAAAGCATATTATTTAACCGCATACTTTAGCAGTTAAAATCCACAATTAGAGAAGCAATTAAGGGGAGATTTAGGTGGTGTTTGCAAATGATTATTTAAAAGCAGAAGTTAGTGATTGTGATTTAAGTTAGTTTTAAGTACTTATTTCTAAAAGTTGGGGGTGTTTTTGCAAATATTTTGGAAAATGAACTAAAATTGAAAAAACAGGGTTAGGGGAGCTTTTAAAAAAATAGATTAAAGCAGATTATTTTAAGAGAAGCAAAAGCAAAAGTTGATTTTGCAAACACCTAAAAACAGATTATGAGCAAAAAAAACCGCATAATCACTTTCAAAAAGCATTTGCAAACACCACCTTACTGATAATAGGCTTATAGAAAGCATTATTATTGGACTTCAGATGGGCCTACTTAAAACCATATGCTTAGTAGGCAAAATCCGAATTATTTAAATTTTCCCTTTAGTTATTTATATACAATATAAATAAACAAATAAAATAATTTGATTTTTCTTGAAATAAAATATGATTATATATATATATATGGCATATTTTATGGCTCACATGATATTGGCCATCACAATCATGTGCCGAATGTGGCCAACCCATATATTAAATAAATAATAAAAAAAAAGAAAAAAAAAGCATGAGAGTTTCTCAATGACGTCATTATTCATGCGCACCTAGTAATTAACTATATTAATTAACAAAAAGATAAGAAAAATTGCATTCAGTGAATAAGAATATACTCTCCAAAGTCAAAAAGTATTATTTCAGAAATAAGAGGTGTATGTTGATGGAACAATACTATTTCTTATTCGGTGAATATATAGTCTACTTATATATAAAAAAAAATCCTCATTTTTTTCATAATTACATTCACCCTGAAATTTGTAGATTTCTTACATTAACACCCTTTTGTAGGGGTGGATGCAAAACACTAACAAACTGCAGGGGTTGGATATAATTTCTCGAAAATAATGGGTTTTTTGTAATTACACTTTACTTCAGGGAGGTGATTGTAATTTAGCCAATTAAATTTATAAAGAGTTGATACTTTACAATTAAAAATATATATCATATTGGAATTTGATTTAAAAAGTACAAACAATATTTTAGGTTATGAAAAAAGGGTACCAAATTAATAGATTAAATATAAAATTGAAAAGTAAAATAATATATTAAAGATAAAAAAAAATAAAAAAAAATATAGCGGAGCTATCGCTTCCTAGCCCCTTGAAAGTTCCGCCCATCGCTAACGGATGCGAAATTTACAGAGACAAAAGTTAGATGAAACGTCATTCACGCTAAACTTTGAGTCGGATCGAAGCTTGAAATATTTAAAAAATTATAAAGAATAACAAAATAAAATTATTATTATTGTCCCTTGTATATAGAACTCCCACATCATCCTAAAGTTTTTGCAAATTGACATAATTTAACTTATATCCCAAGTAGATACAAATTTAAAACCCTTGTTTCTAACTCTCATGGGAAATTACAAAATTACCCCCCACAAAACCTCTATAAATATGTGTGAAATCCCAAGTCCACAACATAGAAACAACCAAACCAAACATACCCCAATTCAACTATAATAAGCAACTACTTTTTCATGGCCGGACTTCAATACAATTTCTTCCCAACAGATTTCTTGTTTCCTCCTCCTCCGCCGCCTTCCACCACCACCGGCGGCCACCAGCAACCAGCAGTTGTAGCACTCCGAAAGGCGGCTGCCAACGAAGCTGACGATCCAAGCAAAAGCCTCAAAATAACGGCCTCCGCTTCATCTGTGTCCTTGGCTCCTATTTACAAGAAAAATTAAATCGAAAATCACCAAGTTAATTTGTCGAATAAGACTAATTGGTTCGGAAGTCATTTACGAAGGTTTCTTCGGTGTTTTTTTTTTTTTTTTTTTTTTTTTTTGTTTCTGTAAGATTTTTGGTTTCTTTATCAATGATGTATTATTATCAGTTGTTAAACTATGAAATTATGTACAACTTTTTATCAGATTCTTGGCTTATAAATTCTCTCCCTCTCTTGAATTACATAAATAATTACTATAATTTATACATATAATACATATTTATTACAATATAAATGTGTAAAAGTCAAATATTACAATCTAAAGGGTGATACGAAGCTCTTTTAAGTTGTTAAAAAAGAATTACATATTCTTTGTTCAAACCAATTAATAACATTTAAATTAAATAAATAAATAAAGGACTATATATATGTATATTAGCATGTGACTGTGACGGAGTCAAAATTCTGCATTTATACATAGAACATATAACTATTGGACATTGACAAAAATACTCTACTTATAAAAAAAACAATGAATTTCAACATAAATTAAAAATAGATTTTAAGTAGTGATAGGGACAATTACCTAACGGCCTAAGCTAGATTTGTCACTCGTAAACTATAACGATTAAAGTCCCCTAAAAGATTCTACAGCGGTCGGAACAAGTGAACATGTATCAACTGATTTATGTTCGAATCATTTTGTCAACGGTCATTAAATCGAGTTTGTCACACATGGTTAACCTAGTGTAGTTTACGTCTCTCATATCGTTTGTAAGTTATTATGTAAGAGTATAGGTTTATCCAGTGAGACGTGCATCTGTATAGTTTGAAAAAAAATTAACCGGAACAATAATAAAATATATTTTTTGACCAAGTATAAGAGTCATTTAGCACAAGTACTGCACAAAAAGGCCATAAACATTATACTCAAGCTTTGTGTTGTGTTATTACATTCATCGTCAACTTAACCTAATTATAAATTATAAATTAAATAATAAGATGGAAGCAATGACTAGACTTTACTTAAATAACACATCTAAAAAATTGAAATATTATTTTTTTTAATTTAATTTTTTATTCAAGTTACTCTCAAAAGGCACATCATCATGCTCATGGTTTGTGCATAAACAAATGGCCAATCAACTTAATTAATTAATTCAATTATTGAAAATTAATATAATTATTTGAAGCGGTTTCATTTCTTGTCAAACATTTTGTAGATTCACTGCATAATCTAGAATATTCTTAAGCATGTAATAATTACAATTAAAAATAATATAATCAATTTGAATTTGAATAATATTCCACCACCACATACATACATACCTATTTTGTGCCTCTAGAAACACATGAAAGGTTAGTGTGCTTAACTATAAACCAACCAAAGGAGCCTTCAAAACTTCAATCAATCTCTCTCTCTCTCTCTCTCACTAAAAATATTTGAAGAATCTAGAATCTAATGGCTGGGCTTCAATACAACTTCTTTCCAACTGATTTCTTGTTCCCCCTCCAACAATCTGCGGCGGCAACCACCACCACGGGCGGCGGAGATAACCCTTTACGGCAAGTTTCTCTAGTCAAGATCGACAAATCGGAGGACTCGAAGCAGATCAATTCCGTCACCGGCAAGGTCAAGATTGTCAAAGCAATTACTTCTTCCTATGCTCCAATAATCATTCACAAGCAAAATTGAATATTTGCTATAGATATATATTATATATAAAAAATAGTTTGTTCAAGAGTTTATTTATATTAGAGAGGCCTATGAGTTTTGTGAAGGCTTCTCAAAGCAAATTAAAGTGCTAGTTTTTATGCAATATAATATACTGTTTTTTTGTTTGTCCAATTTATTTCATCATTTTCTTATGTTCATATTTACATATAAATTGCATTTTTACAAATAGCTTTACTAGTAAGAGTTGACCAAGAAAGATAGGGTTGACTTGCGAGATTAATTAATTTGGAATTATTGACTACCACATGCATGTTCCACTAGGGAATAGGAAAATAATATTCGAATTACCTACCTAGTATATTTGATTTTTTCTTTATATTGATTAATTATCATTTTTCAGTTCTCCACAAGTATTAAGAATTTGTGTCTTGTTTTTAGGAAAAAATATTAAAAAAATTAAAAGAGAGAGTTAATATTTAGAGTTGAAATAATACGATTAAAACAAGAAAAAATTATGTTTAATGCATAATAATTATTTAAAATGGACAATTATTATGAAATATATGAAATACTAAATAATAAAAACCCCCCTAACAATAAATCGACACTACAAACAGAATAATATTAATAAGGCTCATTAAATTAATATTTTCAGGGTACATATTTTATAATTATATTATATATAATTGTAATAATAATAAAAAAAAAAAAAAAAATCAAGGGCACTTTGGTCCACCTCTCTTAGTCTTCCAGTTATTATAGCAAGGGCAGAATTGCTTGTTACCATAAGTGCCAGGTGGCACACACAGACATTTCCCACAGCATTTTTGACAGAAGAACATACACGGTTTCTTGAACGCCGTTTTCGAGCATCTCACACTGCACCTGGGCCCACATTCTGTCACCAAATACAACACCAAAATTTATTATTGTATTCGATACCCTTGTGTTGTACTCTAATTATTAAACACTCCTCATGTTACTTTTATTAGCAAAAACACCCCTTTGATTCTTTTTTTGAGCAAATTACCCCTTATCCGTTGTTATTTAAAGGACACTGTTCTTACCCTGAGGTTGAAGGCTGCCAGGAGTAGCACCATACTGAAGACCATAAGAAAGGTAGAGGATTAGCAACTTCATTAATTAAATTAAATGACATAATTAATTAATTAATTAATTAATTAATTAATTATTTTGTTTTTTAGGATAAAACAGTCACTCCTAAGGTAAGGTTAAATTACAAAAAGAACCTCTCAACTATGAATCTTCTTATACTTCCACCGTTGCCAGGGGCGAGTCCACCCTTGGGCAAGGGTGGACTCAAGCCCACTCTCATTTTTTTTTATTTTCCCCCTATATTATACACTATTTCTATTTAGTCCATCCAAATTTTATTTACTAGCCACCCAAAATTTCATTTAATGCAAAAGAAGCCCCATATTTTATTAATTAGCCTACCCAAAATTTAAATTAATACAAAAAAGTCCCAAATTTTATTAATTAGCCCACCCAAAATCCAAATTAATACAAAAAAAACTCTAAAATTTGTTTTTTCTCTGTTTTTTTTTTCGTTTCTCCTTTTCCTATTTTCAAAAAAATCCTAAAAAAGTCTCGGGGGCGCTGCCCCCGAACCCCCGAAAATTGAAGCCCCCCCTGTACTGAGTTCCTGGACTCGCCACTGACCGTTGCGGTATTAAATTCAGTGGAATATTCTCCAGTTTGTACCCGTTTTATCCCATTCGAACTCCGAATTTTGAAACAAGATGATCATATATTGTGGTGCATCAGAAACTGCATTTTGCACAAAACGAGTACAAACTAGATAATATTCCACCGAATCTAGAAGATAGTATTGAATTTGACATCGCAAGGATGGACATGTAAGAATATTCGCAGTTGATGGATGATTGTAATTACCCGAACATGAGGAGTTTTTTCATAATTTGACCTTACCTTAGGGGTGTGGCCGTAGTTTACCTACTCCGTAAGAAAAATATTTACCATGGGATAGGTGCCTGGTGGTTGTGGCTGGGGAGCTGGGGAGAAAATTACAGTTGCCTGCAAAAACATTAGTCTTGGAATTAATAAAACTACATAATTAGACAAAAGTACTATATATAATGCAATAATAATATGAACAAGAAAATTAATTAATTTTTAATTTATTTCTTACATGGTTTTGGAGAACAAGCTGAAGGAGAAACATAAGCAAGAAACAGAAGATCATATCCCTTTTCCCTGCAGAATAATGCATGTTGCCCTTCAAATATCAAGAGAGAGAAACTCTGTGAAGTTTTGAGAGCAATTCTTTAAAAGGCACGTACGTGCAAATATATATAACAAAAGAAATAATCATTAATATAATATATCATTAATTAAAAAGAAGGTGATTGTATACTAAATTTCCAAAATAATAATTACATCATCGATATATTTGTTATCCCCATGCATGTGAATTACGACACGTACACCACACAAACTGTTCGAACTGCTAAGGCAAAAATCATTTTCGTCCATATAAATGTTTATTTGTCTTTTATTTATACATACATATATGATTAGCATGCAGTTTTGTCCGAATGTGCTGTTATTTCCACTTCTCGTGAACCCATGCATCATGTGATACCCCTCACCATCAACAACATTCGTGTGTCACTCTCGATCGGGTATTTTTTTTTTATCCCCAATAATTTGTCTGAGTAGACCCGAAAATATTATGTTGTTTTATCTTGCATTCTAAGGAGGTTTTTTGTTAAACCTCCAGGGGTTCCGATAAAATAATTTAGCTTTTATTAGATTATTACATTTTATCTTCGCAACCAAACGATGTCTTATTGTATTGATGGGTTTTGTTATATATATATGTTCGGACTGGACCTCTTTTTGTTGTGAATATAAAGACTAAATAATCTAATGAAAACCTAGCTAAATATTGTATCGGACTTCAGGTCCAACAAAAAAGCCTCCCATGGCAAGATAAGAGATATATAATAACATATTATTTTCGGGTCGACCCAACAAATTATTGGATTTAACAAACATCAAACAAGGTCCAATTATTCAGTTAACGATAGTTAATTTTCCAAACCAAACGAGACCTATGTCTTATTTTAAATCTAGAATATAATTAGGGATAGTTAAGTGTGGTGGAAACTTCCTGAAATTGGGCTTCGACATAGCCTTGGGTGGTCATATTGGACTAACCTATGGCTTCGCTGGGCCCATTTTGGCCGGCCCGCTAACTTCAGATCACGAGGTTTTTATTTGTTTGTTTTTTTTTTTCCTTTTTCTTTTTTAGTGATAATTTCACTTTTAAGTCGTAGAAAGTGTAATTTCACCATCCTTTGGGCCCACAAGTATTTGATGGAGGGATGTAAATTCCACAAGGAACCAACCCTCACTGAAATTGAAATTCCCACACTGCAACTGTCAGGATTCGATCATAAGACCTTGTACCAACTTACCACCTCCGGAAACAACTGACTTACACCCATGCGGGCATGTGTAATTTCACTCATATATATGTGTGGTCGAGTTATTAAAAAATGGGGCTCTTTGAGAAAACCCCCTCACTACTTTTTTTAATTGAGGGAGGCCCAAAATATTTTAGTCCATTTGAGAAAAGTCCACACCCATTTTCAGCTATTATATTTTCCAGCTTTACCCCCGCCCGTCACCTCATCACTGGGTCAGCGCTCCAGGATTTTTTTTTTTTTTAATCGACTATGAAGCATAGTCGATTAGTCTTAAATCGACTATGCTTCATAGTCGATTAAGGAAAATCTTTAATTTTTTTTTTTTTTTTTCTAATTTTTTTTTAATATTTTTTGGTTTTTTTAATTTTTTTTCTCTATCAGGTTTATTAATGCATAGTCGATTAAAATTTTAGCTATTAAAAATAACAAATCATAATTAAAAAAAAATACAAAATCAACTATATCTAAAAAAAAGTATACAAACATTGTAATTGATTTATACATTGGAATCAATAAACAAAAAATAAAAAAAAAATAAAAAAAAAATTAACAACTGAAGTCGGTTAACCTTAATCGACTACCGAACATAGTCGATTAAGCCTTAATCGACTATTGAACATAGTCGATTAAACACACGTAGTCGATTAATTCCCTGCCTGCGCGAATTTCTTTTTCTGCGCTAATTCAGCAAACCCATCGCAATCTTCCACCCAAAACCGCCGCCGCCAGCAGACCCATCGCAATCCTCCACCCAAAACCGCCGCCACCAACAGACCCATCGCAATCCTCCACTCAAAACCGCTGCCACAACCATCATTACCATCACCATCCACGCACACATACGCCGCCGGTAGCAGACCCATCGCAATCATCCACCCAAAATCGCCGCTGGTAGCAGACCTGTTGCTCAGAGACGGGCCTTGTGGAGTGTAGAAATTTGTATCGTGGCTCTCGTCGTTGGAGGACGACATCGGCGGCGGCGAGTTTACGATCGGCGGCGGTGGGGGAAGCTGCTTCGTCAGCGGCGGCAAGGGCTGGAGGTCGGGGCTGGGTGTGTAACGACTGGATTTTCCGATGTAAAGAAAAAAAGAGAGAATGACATGGGTTAGGGATAATAAGGGTGGTTTGGGAATTATTAAATAATATTTGGGTAGAATATTAGGTAAGGGGGTTTTCTCTAATTATTTTTGGGAGGGGGTTTTTCTTAACTCATTTACCTACAACATCGTCCTTACAACGTAACATATATTTCTCGAACTCCAACCTTGTATAAAGTTTCTCACGGGGTCAATGTGCGAAACTAATTAATTAATTAGTGAAAAGTTTAAATTAGGGTTTGAACGACGAAAAGTTGAGTAAATTAGATTTTGAGGTACTATTTTTGATATTGTTTCAGGTATTAACATATATATTTTTTTATAAAGGAGGATTTTACAAATAAATAGCTTCCTAAGGACTTATATGAAATTTGCGGTTAAGGAAAGTCCAAAAAATATATAATGCCTAAGACATGGATCTGTTACTTTCTCAATTATAAAACCTAAGACAAAATCAAATCTTTTCCTTCATTCTCAAGAACCCACACAGAAAAAAAAAAAAAAAAATCTCAGAAACGGATCACATGATGATGACGGCGGAACCCCTCTTCGATAATTGGAAGTTCTTTGATCACAGCGTTCATATAGATGATATTCAGGCGGCGGCGGTGGAAAGTAGCAAGCGGCGGCGATTGAAATACTCTCCAACGGCGGCCACAAACTCCGACGAAGTTATTCCCTCCTTGAAGATGACTGGTGCTTCGGTGTGCTTCCCGATGGAAAAACCCGGCAAGCCACGTGGCGAAGACGCCCACTTCATATCAACCAAGTACCAGACAATCGGCGTGGCCGACGGCGTCGGCGGCTGGGCTAAACTAGGCATAGACGCCGGAAAATACTCCCGCCAGCTCATGATGAACTCCGTCCGCTCTTTACGCCGCCTGCCGAGATGCGCCGGCGGCGTAAACCCTAAAAGAGTCCTCCAACACGCGTACAAGAGAACCACCGCACAGGGCTCCTCCACCGCATGCATCGTCACACTCTCCGGCGACAAACTGCGGGCCGCCAACGTCGGCGACAGCGGGTTTCTTGTCATCAGAAACGGCGGCGTCGTATACCGGTCGCCAACTCAGCAACGAGGATTCAACTGCCCTTATCAACTCGGGATCGGAAAGGATAACCCAAGTATTTGCGACGAGATCGAGTTTTCCGTAAAATCGGGGGATGTGGTCGTGGCGGGAACAGACGGGTTGTTCGATAATGTCGGCGAAAGCGAAGTGGTCGAGATTATTACCAAGACTTGCAGAGACGGCGATTTGAATAGACAGGTGTCGTATTTGGCCAACATCGCGCTTTACAACTCGATGGACGCGTACACCGAGGAAACCCCGTTTTCGATCGCGTCGAGGAAGGCCGGAAGGCCTCACAAGGGAGGCAAGCGCGACGACATTACGGTTATTATTGCTCGAATCGAATGATGGAATTGAAGATTATTATTATTAGAAGATCAATAATATTGATGGAATCGAATGATCGAATCGAATGGTGCGTAACTATCGAGAGGGTAATAGAGTGGCAGACGGGCACAAAGAGATGAAGCTATATAGAGATGCAATCGATCTTCCTCGTCATACTAGACCTAATTAATTACTTCAAGATAGTCTCCTTAGGCATATGTAATTTTATCTTTTATTTCCCTTTTCACCCCAATTTGGGGTTTTGTAATAGATGTAATTAGGTTTTGATCTGATTTTTTATTACCATTGTAGGGGTACTCTTTTTTCTTGTGTAGGCCGACAAGATTTTAACGAGGCTCCAATTCTTTTAAAATAATGGAATAATAAAATCTTTTTGCCGATAATAATAATACTAATAATATTGTTATGTATGTATAATTTTTTATGTATTAAGATCAATATTTGTTAATTTGATTTGTTATATAGCTAAGTTTTTAGTAGAATATACATGCATGCATGAATGGGGTTAAGATTGTTCTTCATGATGAATAACGAAGGAAAAAAAGAACAAGGAACTGAATTAATTATGATTTAATCAAAAAATATTAAAGAAATTTGAACTTTGAAGTTAATCTATAAAGAAACAAGAACTTAATTGAAATAACTAATTAAGGTAACTTACGGCTACCTTTTAGGTACAGTCAAATTACGTAAAAAAAACATTTTTGTTTGGGTAATTACAACCAACATCTCAATTATAAATCTTCTTAGACGTTTATTTTTACTGGGTATCAAATTTAACATAATCTTCTAAATTCCGTGGAATGTTCTCTAATTTGTACTGGTTTTGTGCAAAAAACAATTTCTGATGCACCACAATCTGATATTTACAAGGCAAAAGACACATCTGATGATCATCTTATTTCAAAATCAGGAGTTGGAATGTGATAAAACGAGTACTTAAGAATATTCCATAAAATTTAGAAAATTCCACTAAATTTGACACCGTAAGGATGAACATGTAAATATAATCATAGTTCAAACCGTGGTTGTAATTATCTAATTAAACAATAGGGTTTTTTTTAGTAATTTAACATTAACTAATGGGGTGGCCGCTAATTTACCATAACAAATTATTATATTTGATTTGGTAACATAACAATATAACATTAATTAATATATTGATCAAACCTAAGTGCTTTAGGATTAAATTAGGTAATTAATATATAATTAGATCCTCTTCCCTAAAATAATCCCTGCTTACCCTAATATCTAGGGCAGATATATATCTATATATATATAGAGAGAGAGAGAGAGGCCAGATGCGTAGATACAAAAACTTTGTCAGAAGTATGGCGTACGCAACCTCTTGTAGAAATTTGATGATGATCGCAGAATCTTGCTACATACCCAAGGAAAACAAGGACAAACCCGCCGGAGAAGACGCCCACTTTTTCTGCGAGTCGGCGCAGGTGATCGGAGTCGCCGACGGCGTCGGCGGGTGGGCCAGCCGCGGGATCGACGCCGGCGAATACGCCAGGGAGCTGATGAAAAACGCCGAGTACGAAGTCAAGGACTACTGCCCGATCGACGTGGAGCCCAAAGAAGTGCTCCGACAAGCTTTCTTGAACACGGCGGCGGAGGGTTCTTCCACCGCCTGCATAATCTCGCTCGCCGGGAATATTCTAACGGCGGCGAACGTCGGCGACAGCGGATTTACGGTGATCAGGGGCGGCAGGACTTTCTACAGGTCGCCGGTGCAGCAGTACGGGTTCAACTTTCCTTACCAGTTGCAGAATTCGTCGTCGGAGGATGACGGCGCCGAGCAGGCGGAGGAGATGACGGTGGAGATGGAGAGCGGCGATGTTGTAGTCGCCGGAACTGATGGGCTGTTCGACAATTTGTTCCCCGAGGATATAGAGACGATTGTGAGGGATTATTGCTCGGATTCGATGCTGTCTTTGTCGGAGACGCTGGCTACGGCGGCGCTGGAGAGATCTGAGGATACGACCACCGTCACCCCGTTCGAGGTGGCGGCGTATGAGGCCGGGAAACGACACCTTGGAGGGAAGTACGATGATATTACAGTTGTTGTTGCTCGTGTTGTACTTGCGGGGAGTATTAGTTCGTACGACAACGATGATGATGGTGATGATCTTATGGATCTTTGTATTCTGGTGTAGCTTTCTTGAATTTTGATGGAAGAAATTTGTTTATTCAATTAATTATTTTTTATTGTAATTTTATGATCAATAATGAGAAATTCAAGAGGATTAGTTGATTTAATTTCAAAGAATTTGATGCTGGCTAGTTCTTGATTTTCTTGATTCCAATCTTTTAATTATACTTATATTTAGGTTAAATTAAAAATAATTTAGTTTGTGATATATGAAATCAAAATACAATTTAAAGTATTACAAAAAATACTCAGATTCTTCTAACCATTATTAATTGTATATGTTTTAAGTTTTAAAAATAAAATTAGGTTTATGAGTGTTGCAAAACTCAATACTTAATTATTAATTAAATTGTGTATTATTCTCTTGTGGAGGCCAATTCAAAATAGGGAAATAAGTTATAAATACAATATAACTAGAAGTCCTACTGCAAACATGTTTCTATAATAATAGAATACTTGTAAATATATCATCGTAAATTGAATCGTGTATTATTCTCCAAAGAAGACACCAATTTATATAATAATATTGGAAATAAGTTCTAAATACAATATAACTAGAAGTTCTAATATAAACATGTTTCTATAACAATAGAATGCTAAATATACATATGCAAAATTTGGATCGATAATGTAGATAATTGTGAGCGAATTATTTCGTAATGGTCTTGTCGATTTTTAATTTACTATCCGAAATTACCTGCCCCACCAAGAAATGAGTTTCAAAATTTTCGATTAATATTTTATTATAGTTTTTTTAATTAAATTTTATGTGCACATTAGCAATAAAATTTAATGGTTATTTAATTCTAGAAATACTTTAATTTATAATTTATTATCTTTTTGAATGGTTTATAAGATATTGGATAAATATGTAGTAGTATTCCAATTTAATGTAATAAATAGTATATGTCAATACGACACCGTTTGTTGTCAATATCTTATTACGTATCTTAAAATACATGCAATTAGAATTCTATGAGGATTATAATATGTTAATATGTATTATGTATATATACACATATATATGTATATGCCTGGTGAGAAATACAATCACACGTAAAAACTAGAAAAACAGTTTCCATGGCGATTAAAACATCGAGAAATCTGATGATGATAGCGGGATCTTTCTACATACCAAAGGAAAACGAGAACAAACCCTTCGGAGAAGACGCTCACTTTTTCTGCCCGTCGGCGCAGGTGATCGGAATCGCCGACGGAGTTGGTGGGTGGTCAAGGTACGGCGTTGACTCCGGCGAATACGCAAGGGAGCTGATGAGAAACGCCGAGTACGACGTAAAGAACTACCGATCAATCGACGTGGGCCCCAAACAAGTGCTCAGGCAAGCTTACTCTGACACGGCGGCGGCGGGCTCTTCCACCGCCTGCATAATCTCGATCGCCGGAAACCTACTCCTGGCGGCGAACGTCGGCGACAGCGGGTTCATGGTGATAAGGGCGGGAAAGACTTTCTACAGGTCGCCGGTGCAGCAGTACAGGTTCAACTTTCCTTACCAATTGCAGAAGTCGTCGAGGGCGAACGGCGCCGAGCAGGCGGCGGAGTTGACGGTGGAGGTGGAGGGCGGCGATATTGTGGTTGCCGGAACTGATGGCTTGTTCGACAATTTGTTTGTCGATGAAATAGAGACGATCGTGAATGATTATTGCTCGGGTAATTCGAAGCTGTCTTTGTCGGAGATACTTGCTACGGCGGCGCTCGGAAAATCTCTCGATAAAACCACCGTCAGCCCGTTCGAGGTGGCGGCGTATGAGGCCGGAAAACGACGCTCCGGCGGGAAGTACGATGATATCACTGTCGTTGTTGCTCATGTTGTAGAATGTAGCTGCATGCAATAGTTTGTACGACGATGATTTTTTTCTTGTGTGGCTTTTATTAATTTCAAGTATAAAATTTGTTTACTCAATTTATTATTTATTACTGTAAAGAAATTGTTTATATGAGAAATTCAAGAATTGTTTCTTTTTTTTATTGTAAATTTACTGTTTATAGTCTCTGCATACGAGTAGATCATGACCTAGCCACGGAAACATGAACTGTTCGGGCGTAAACTCTTTCAGCGCTCAAGTTAGATGTATTGGAACGTACGTTTTACAATAAGCGTTATAATTCTAATTAGGCGGCTATATGTAATACTAATTTCACTTAAGCAAAACCAAATTAAAGAAAGATTCCAAAATATTCTATTTTATTAAGTTGAAATGAAAAATATACCCATAAATTAAATTGGTTTGTGTTTGCTCATACAAGACCAAATAACAAATAATGGGAAAAAAAAAAGAGAAAGAAAAACTTAAAATTAGAAAAAAAGAAAACCCCCCTCTCCCCCCATCCGTTGAAACCCTTCCCGTTGACACAACACAGCCGCCAAGCTCCTCGTCGACCGCCGCCGGAGTGGTCAATTGCTAATTCCTAATTTTGTTCAACCTTGAAAAAAAAGAGGAAAACAAATTGAAACTCGTAAAAATCGACACCAAGGGGTCGAAAAACTATGCTACAAATCGACACTTAAGATTCGAAAAAAAAGACCCAAATTCGACCTCAAAAGTATGTCGAATTTGATAGGTAAAAATCGACATTGAGATGTCGAATTCATAGCACAAATTTGACATTGTGAAATGTCGAATTTTATACATCAAAATCGACATCTCAATGTCGATTTTTACCTATAAAATTGAACATGAACATGTCAATCGTGTTTGCGTGGGATTTTTTTTGTAAAAACGATATTGTCGCTAAAAACCACATAAATATATACCTTCTTGGGTTCTTCCACCGGAGAATCTTCTATTTTGCTGTCTTCTGACTCCATACTTGCCATCATTGTAAGATTTGTTAAATTTTGACGATTTTGAATGTTTAGGTTTTGTGGGTTTATGGAGGAGAAAGGAGAAATGTTTTATGAGTTCTGGAAGATGGAGAAGAATAAAACTGGTCTTGTGATTTTGAGATATTTTTTTTATGTTTTTGAGTTTTTGGTATTGCATATTTGGAATTCTCTATTTTTTTTAACAAGTAAGTGTTTATAGTATTTATACATTGAATTTTTTTAATTTGGTCTTGCACAAGTGAAATTAGTCTTGCATATTACCGCAACCTTCTAATTAGAGTGTAATTCTAGCCAAGCTTAGAAATACCTCTAATTAGGTATTTAATCGATATAATGGGTTTGAGCCGTTAATCTTAATGAACTTATTCTTTCGAACCTCAACTTTTCGTCCAATTAGTTAGTGGGCTCATTAAACGCCCACTTAGATGCATCAATTACTAAAGGAGTAAATTACAACTACCCATGAGGTATGGTAAAATTACGAAAACTCCCTTCCTATTTGGGTAATTACAGCAACGCTACAATTATAAATATTCTTACACGTCCACCATCGGGTTTCAAATTTAGTGTAATCAATCTTCTTGATTATATGGAATATTTATCACTTTTGTACCCATTTTATCTCATTCGAACTCCACATTTTAAAGTAAGATGATTATAAGATGTGTTTTTTGGCTTGTATATATCAGATTGTGGTGCATCAGAAACTGTATTTTGACACAAAACAAGTATAAACTAGAGTACATTCCACGAAATGTAGATGATTATGTTGTATTTGACAGCATAAAGGTGGATGTGTAAGAAAAAAAATCATAGATAAGAAGTAGATGCAATTATCCAAACAAGATGTGTTTTTTCATAAATTAATAATACCTCGTGCGTGGTTGTAATATACCCATTACTAAAATTCAAAGATATTGAATTCATTTTTTATAAGAAAAACTATGAGCTAACCAGTCAATGTGCACGTGTCAACAAAAACAAATTTTCAGTAATTTCTCAATCTGTTGTAACAATAATTTCAACTTTCCATGCTATAGTAATTGCCTATTGTGTTTATGACAATGATTTAACAATAAGAATAGTAATATTAGCTCTCATACTATCCCACCGTTCAAGATCAGTTAAAGGAAAAGTAAAATATGACAAATATAATATTTATGGTAAAATATTAATTTTGATTTGAAAATTTTTGATTTTTGATATTTTTTAAATTGCAGCATATTCCCTATAATCTTGAAGATTTTATAAATTTGACACTGCGTCCGTGAACGTGTAAGAAAATTCATAGTTGATGGATAATTGTAATTATTAATTATCTGAACTTATGGGATTTTTCGTAACTTAATCTTACATCAGGAGAGTCACCGTAATTTATCTTGTCCGAATATCCACCCCTAACTCCACCGTAAATGTTTGATGGGTCGATCTAATCACACGTTAATTTGTTAGTCTAATGTGGCTTACAAGTCAGATGGCTGCGGACTCTTAGTTATAAATTATAGGGTAAATTACGGCCAATCCCTGAATTATGGTCAAATTACAAAAATTTCTCTTATGTTTGTGTAATTACAGCCACCCCTGAACTATGTATTATCTTACGAAAAGACTCATTGAGGTAAATTTAAGGATGTTAATTCAGTACCTCAATATTTTATACCGTTTACCGAACTAAATATACTATTGGGTTCAGTAAATAACATAACATAATTTTACGTAAAAATATTTAAAAGGAGGGGTGGCTATAATTACTCAAACAAGAGGATTTTTCGTAATTTGACCATATCTCGGGAGTGATCATAAATTGGCCTAAATTATATATATATATATATATATATATATATAGAGTTCTATAAGGACTATAATATGTTATACCTAATTAAGTAGATATATATATATATACACACACAATTAATACTATGACAAGAAGCTTTCTGGACAACAAGAGAAACTTTCCATGGCGGCGATCACAGATTTAGGGAATCTGACGATTATTGCGGACTCTTTCTACATACCAAAGAAAAAGCAGGGATTCCCCTCCGCCGGAGAGGACGCTCACTTTTTCTCCCAGTCGGCGCAGGTGATCGGAGTGGCCGACGGCGTCGGCGGGTGTTCAAAGTCCGGCATCGACTCCGGCGAATACGCGAGAGAGCTGATGAAAAACGCCGAGCACTACGTCAGGGACTGCCGCCCCGCCGACGTTGATCCCAAGAAGGTGCTCGGAAAGGCTTATACGAACACGGCGGCGAAGGGCTCATCCACCGCCTGCATTATATCGCTCGCCGGAAACCTACTCACGGCGGCGAACGTCGGCGACAGCGGGTTCATGGTCGTCCGGGGAGGAAAGATCTTTTACAGGTCGCCGGTGCAGCAGTACGGGTTCAACTGGCCTTACCAGTTGAAGAAGGCGGCGAAGAACAGGGGGATGGAGCAGGCGGCGGAGCTGGCGGTGGAGGTGAGGAGCGGCGACGTCGTAATCGCCGGAACCGATGGCTTGTTCGACAATATGTTCGCCGGAGAGATAGAGAGGATTGTGATGGAGTATTGCTTGGGTACTTATGGGAAGCTGCCTCCGTCGGAGATACTCGCTATGGCGGCGCTCGGAAAATCACTCGATAAAACCACCGTCAGCCCGTTCGAGTTGGCGGCGCGTAAGGCCCGTAAAAAACATTCCGGCGGGAAATACGATGATATTACGGTTGTTGTTGCGTACGTTGTACCGGCAGATAGTTCGTACGACGAAGGCGACGACGATGATAATTTCATCGTCGAATTGTTGCGTAAGTTCTTTTGTTTGCAAACATAATTTTGTTTATATATTCAATTCAATTCATTTGATTTTGCTCCTAATAATTAATGGTTTGTAGGAGGAATTAATTAGATCAGTTTTGCTTTAATGTATATATATGTTTATTTTATGAATGAAGTGACGTGATAAATGTCGTTCGAGTTCGAGTTTTAATAATATCGACTTCAAACATGATTTTGATCAATTTTTGTTACAAATTTTGCAAAACTCGAAAAACAGAATTTGTAGTATTCTGAGTTAGTTTTCTAATCCAACTTGAATTACCAAAATTGGATGTCGGACGAGAAAGATATACATGAACCAATGGATACTGCCCCACAACTTTGATGTATTGAGCTAGGTATCTAAAATTCAAAATGTGACTCATTCATGCATAACTTTGTCACACGGCATCCAATCTAGCGGATTTAAGTTGGATTAGAAAGCTAACCCAAGGGACTACAGTTTTCGTGTTTCGAATTTTGCGAAAAACAAAATAGAAATATATCAAAATCATGTTCGAAGTCAAAATGACATTAGTAAAATTGAAACGACATTTAATATTTCAGATGAATTAATCATAAAGTTATAATTCATAATTGTATATATACGCGATGAATGTGTGGAGGGTACTCGAAAAATGTGTACTCGAACCGCGCACCCGCACCCACCCCGTTTGTTGGTGAGCGGGTAAAATTCGTAATCGGGCGGGGTGGAGTTGTCATCCCTACATTTGTTTGATAAGGAATCGAAACAAAATGACTTGATGTTATTATACGAACATAATATTTTTTTTATATTGCTAATTGAACAACACTTGTAAGTACTTAGTCGAGAATTTTGAACAACTGACCATGAACTGGATATATTGATTTTTGTGAAATTAAAAACCAACGTAAATTAGTTTTTGATAGGTTTTTTGTTTCAATCCGTTCGATTTCAATTATGTTTCGGTTCAAGAATAACTATACATTCAATTTACACAAACAAAAAAAATCAAATTATCATTACTTTTACAAACTAAATAAAATGAAGTAAATTATACGAACATAATACTTTGTATCTTGTTGGAATGGTTGATTTGGTGTGATTTAGGGCTACATTTGGGTATATAAAGTTTAATGGGCCTTGGGCAAAATTAAATTCCAAAGCCCAATAACAAAGGCCATATATATGTATATTTTATTCAAGAGGAGGCCCAATTATACAGTATGGGCAGTTTTGTAATTGTGTATCATATCATTTATTTATTGTAAAATATTCATTAACTCATTTAAATACCATACAATAATTAACTAGCGATTATCTTATGCTAAGTAGCACTTAGGGGTAATTAAACAAAATAATTAATATTTAATGGTATTTAGGTCGTCTACCGACCAACTCCCCCATGTGCATTGACGCGGATTTACATGGACTTAGTTCATTGTACGGTCCCACCACAACGATTTGTTCGATGCTACACCCGGTGAAAAACACCGGGTGGGTCTTCTGCTGCCACGTGTCTCTTTTTTTGTATTTTATAATAGATTCCCCGCTAGGGTTTACCTTTAGGGGTTTTAGAAATATAAAAAAAGAACACAGAAGACCCACCCGGTGTTTTTCACCGGGTGTAGCATCGAAGGAACCCACCACAACCAATCGTTAATCATTTTCCGACTTTGGACCGTCAGATCATCTCACCACGTCTATTGACCGTCCGATTCCCATCCATAAAACGACAATCACGGGAATTTTTAAACATGCCATGAGTGGTGGGACCCGCTACCGGGCCAGGACTGTAATTACAATGACCTTTACGTGTCCATGCTTATCTTTTTCTTACCACCGGCTTCCCACCGGCTATGCCCGGTAATCCGGTCATTCCACCTACCTCATTATTGACGTACAATTTCCAATACGATATGTACAACTCTCCTAAAGTCTTTACGCCTCCGACCAGAGAGGGTGTGTTTGGGGGGTTTTGCCAAATTTTTTAGCTTTAGCTTAGAAATAAACTGAAAATGTAATTTTTATTTAGCAACTAAAAATAAACCAAAAATAATTAAGGTAAATTAGGGTAACCTTGAGGTAATGAGGTAATGTTAAATTACGAAAAACTCCCTCTTGATTGGATAATTATAATAACCCATCAACTGTGGATCTTCTTACTCGTGCACCCTTACGCTATCAAATTTAGTGGAATCTTCTACATTACATGGAATATTCTCAAGTTTGTACCCGTTTTATCCCATTCGAACTCCAAATTTTAAAGCAAGATGATCATAAGAAGTGTTTTTTGGCTTGTATATACTAGATTGTGGTGCATCATAAACTGCATTCTTGCACAAACGACTACAAACTAGAGAACATTTCACGAAATCTAGAAGTTTATATTAAATTTGACACAATAATAGTGGAGGTATAAGAAGATTCATAATTGTGGGGTGTTTATAATTACCAAACATGAGGGGTTTTCGTAATAGACCTTAACACGGGGTGGCTTTAATTTATCCAAATAATTATAAAAAATAGAGTTAATAAAAGAGAAAATTGTTAGAAATTAGCCACAATTATAACTCAATTCACAAAATTTTAAATAATACAAATAAATTAGAACATAAATAAATTAACAATAGCAAGAAAAAAATTAAAGAATTAAGTTATGATTACTTATCGACAAAAAAAGATAAAGAGAATCTACAAAGAAATGCTAAAATATAGTAAAAGGAATTTCGTATTAAAGTTGGACCCCCAAACAAGCCGTTATACATTCTTAAGACACACTCTTCTAGAAAGTCAATCAGTGTGCAGGTTCGGTCAATTAATCACAGCTTAGCTTCGGTCCCAAACCTCTAGGCTCGGATAGCCAGGGCCTATAAATAACTCCATTTCGACGCACAACGAATCATCGTTCGTTACGTGTAAACTCGAAATTGGGCTAGAAGAAAAAAAGTTGAAGTTTTTTTTACCAGCAAGGTACTGTTCGTGGACTTTGCTTCAGCATTAATTCTGATTTTTTGAGTTTCGATTAGATTTTGCAAAAAAAAATTGAATTAATTGATGCGGTTTAGGGTTTGAGTAGGTAGATCTGGAAATCATTTATTCAGAGGGTTGAAACTGTATATTTTTTGGGTCGGATTATCGATAAATTTCAGTTTTTTTTGGGTGATCTGTGGTTAATCGGTCTTCGATTTATCTTCTGATTAAAAAATTGGTTTAATTTGCTCTTCGTTTCAGAGTTGGATGATTGAAATCTGAAAGGGCTTTCTATTGATAAATTTCAGTTTTTTTGGTGATCTGTGGTTAATCGGCCCTCGATTAATCTTCTGATTGAAAATTTGGTTTAATTTGCTCTTTGTTTCAGATTTGGATGATTAATTTTGTTTTTTTGCGTTTTCAGTTGATTTTGATCCGAACAGCAATCCGATCATGGCACTAGTATCTGGTGTGAGGTCATCGTCGCTCAATCCAAACGCGCCGCTGTTCATTCCGGCCGCCGTCAGACAAGTGGAGGATTTCTCGCCGGAGTGGTGGGACCTAGTGACTACCTCCACCTGGTTCCGAGACTACTGGCTGAGCCACAACCAGGGAGAAGATATTTTCGGCGAAGAGGACGACAGCGTCGTCGGGTTGTTGCCCGATAACATCGATCTCGATGTTGATGAGGATATCTTGAACATGGAGGCGCAATTCGAGGAGTTTCTTCAGTCGGCTGAGTACGATTACGGGCGTAAGGCGGTCGGTGGAGTGATGGAAAATGGTATAATTTCTAAAATCGCCCAATTTACAATTCAATTGTAGCTGTTTGAATCGGTTTTTTAGGGAATTGGGGATGAGATTTCTTGTTATCGAATTTTATTTTCGTGTACATATTGTTTTCGGGTTTCGACATTAACGATCGTGTTTAAATTTGTGTTCAGGTTTCGGTAAGAATGGAGATGCGCTAGTGAAGACTCTGAGCATGCCGAAGCAGAGAGGGGTCAATTCTCCGATGAAGTATTGGGAGAAGCCGGCGAAGCACGTTAGCCCAAAGTACAGCCCCCGTTCGATTCAGCAACCCCGTTGAAAGGGTTTAGTGGTTAGGGTTCTTGATTAGTAAGTTGTGTTTGTTGTGTAATTTTCTGTATAGGGCAAGGTTTGTAATGTAATGTAAACTGTTTGTAATTTAAGCCTTGTTCATAATAGTCTGACGTCCCTTTTGTTTAGTTTTTTAACATGAAAAAAAGAAAATGTAAAAGAGATATTTGTAGAAGTTGTTATTGGAAAATGAAAAAAATAGTTCATTTTTAGTTGAATTTGTTCATGATTATTTGGATTTAAATGTGGTTCTTGATCATGTTCATTAGTCAAGTTTGGTGTATTTGCAGTGCCACAAAACCAATCATTCAATCTGAAGAAGGGATGAAACTATTTGAACTTAATCAAATGATCAAGAATAATCACAATTTGGTTATAGATTCTGAAAAAATTTATGGTCCCGAATTCGTTTAATACAGAGGTGTTATAACTTATATTAAAACAGTATTACAAGAATACAAAGAGAAGAAGTACAAGAACTTCTTTAAAAACTATATACTAAAAAATCTAGATTACAAAGAATGTACTCATGAGGAGTACGTACAACATATTCTAGAAACACACTAAAACTCATGTATTCTTATCAGCTCTCGATTTTTGTTTCTAGGAATCCTCAACTTTCCTTAAGTCTTGAAGTCGGTATTTATAGACATTCCAAGCTTCCACTCCCCAACCCATGATCTGCAAGAAAACCGACTACAAGAGCACTCAAGAACATGGGTTAGTGGGTTAGGTTAGTAGTTAAAATAATATCTACAATTTAACCCACTAAGCACTACTTAGCCCACTAAGTATTACACTTAGTCCACTAAGTATTATACTTAGTCCACAAAGCACTATACTTAATCATAACTAAAATTTAGTTTGAAAGTAAGAGAGTTAAAAACACATTGTGGAAATCCACGTGTTTCAGTTTCATTAGATTAAACGGAGAGATAGAGAGCTACCATTAGTTATAGGATAAGTTCTCGTCACCGCTGAGGTAAAGTTAAATCACGAAAAATTCGTTCTTGTTTGGGTAATCACAATCACCATTGAACTATGATGTACACTCTTATTGTGTCAAATTCAATATAATCTTCTAGATTCCATGGATTATTAGCTTGTACTCGTTTTGTGCAAAAATACAGTTTTCTGATGCACTATAATCTTATATTTACAAACCAATGAACACATCTTATGAATTATGATCATCTTGTTTCAAAATGTGGAGCTCGAATGGGGTAAACGAATACAAACTGCAGAATATTTCACATAATTTAGAAGATTTCACTAAATTTAACACCGTCAGGATGGACTTGTAAGAAGATCCATAGTTGAGGAGAATAATTAGATCCATAGTTGAGGGTAATAATTGTAATTATAAAAAATCATTGATTTTATTTTCTTAATTTGATCTTGGTAACCATGATTTACCCTTAATTATTACATATATCCATTTAACTTATGGCTGCGGCTATATGCAATACTAAAATCACTTGTGCAAGACCAAATTAAAGAAAAATTCTATTTTATTAAAATGAAATGACAAATATACCCATAAACTAAATTGACTTTTTGTTCTCATGCAAGACCAAGTACAAATAATGAGGAAAAAACAAAAAAAAAAAAAAAACCAAAACAAAGATGCGTGAATTAAAAAAAAAAACAGCCCCCCTCCTCAAACCCTACCTACACCCACCTTCTCCACCTACGCCCACCTTCTCCGCCGCCCAAGCTCTACCACCGATCGCCGCCGCCCAACCTTAAAGAGGAAAAACAAATTAAATCTGAAACTGGTAAAAATCGACACCAAGGTGTTGAAAAACTGTGCTAGAAATCGACACTTAAGCGTCGAATTTTATAGGCAAAAATCGACATTGACATGTCGAATTTATAGCACAAAATTCGACATTGCCAAATGTCGAATTTTATGCCTAAAAACCGACATCTAAATGTCGATTTTTACCCATAAAATTCGACCTGTACATGTCGAATTCGTTTGCGCGAGATTTTTTTTTGGAAAAACGATATTCTAGCTAAAAAAAAAACCCATAAATGCATACCTTCTTGGGTTCTTCCACCGTAGAATCTTCTATTTTGATGTATTATGACTCCATACTTGTCATCTTTGTAAGATTTGTTGAGTTTTGATGATTTTAAATGCTTAGGTTTTGTGGGTTTATGGAGGAAGGAGAAATGTCTTGTGGGTTTTGGAAGATGGAGAAGATGAGAGTTGGTCTTGTAGTTTTGTGGTCTTGTGATAGAGTTTTTTGTGTTTTGAATTTTTGGTCTTGCATATTTGGAATTTTCTATTTTTTTAACAAGTAAGAGTATTATAGTATTTATACATTGAAAAATTTAATTTGATCTTGCACAAGTGATTTTAATCTTGCATATATATAGCTGTAGCCTTAACTTATTTATTTACAGTGTTCTAAAAATCGGCCGAGGCGGCCGATTAATCGGTCGCCGAGGCGGAGGCGGTCCAAAACCTTTACGATTTTAGTGTAAAGGTTTGAAAAATCGGTTTTTTGCCTGTGAAGCGGTTTGAGGCGGTCTGAGGCGGTCCGAGGCGGTCAAACCTTTAAGGCGGGTCAAACTTTGGTGGCAAAAATCGGTCAAAAATCGTTTTTTTTTTTTTTTTTTTTTTTTTTTTTTTTTTTATAAATCAAAATAAAAGTTGGGATTTTAATAAAAGAAATGAGTTTATGCTTTATTTTGTTTATGTTAATTATTATTGTTAAAGAACTAATGATGTATGCCAAGAATGTATGTAAATTCAAAAAAAAATGCCTTTTTATTTATATTTTATAAGGATATTTATGTATTATGATCTTATTATTATTAAACTTTTATTATGTTATTAGAATATATACATGATCGAGATATAACTATGTTTAAATATTTTTTATCTATGTTTTGAGTATTTATAAATAATATCTACAAATATATTATATTAAACTTTAAAAATCGATTTATTTCCGATTTATCACCGATTAATCACCGCCGCACCGATTAATCGTGAGTCGGTGCCTGACCGACTCGGACCCGATTACCGATTTTTACAACCTTGTTTATTTATAATATGCACACATGACACAACAACTAACACAGTGACTTTGCCCCCAATCAGAAGTATGGTGGTATAAACAAATTGAATACGAAATGAAAAAAAATAAATAAACACTATTTCTTTCATTTTTTAAATTTGTTAAACTTTTAAATTCATTTTCAAAATTAAGTTATGAAAAATCGTAAATCGAACACCAAGTGACCGTCCGCAATACCATTTAACTCGAGTTTATGATTAGCGTGACACGATTAACCTAGTGTAGTTTATATTTATCTTGTTATTTTTATTTTTTTCACAAATTATTTTTAAAACTCTTCCCATATATAGCAAAAACTTTTGGAAAACTTGACGTCAGCCACCCGCCTTTACCCTTTCCCGCCAATAGAGTTGAAATTTCATTTCCAAAAACAAGAGCCCCGCCTACCTATATATAACCTCACTCCAATTTCGATTCCTCCATTTTTCTCCACCTTGATATGGCGCCGAGGAAGAGAAGAGCGTCTGCGCCTCCTTCATCGTCTCCCATCTCCGTCGGTAGATAAAAATTGTTTAGATTCATCAGCCGATCGAGTCGAAATTTTGATTTCCCCTCTTTTCTGTGATTTTGATTTATGTTTTGATTTCGCAGGAAATTGTGAAGTCGTAGTGGAAGCCAGGAATTTCACATCCGAATCGGATCGGGGCGGCGTACAAATATCTCTATCGAAAACTGCCAAAGTCCGAATTTCAGGTAGTCGATTTCGCTCGGTTCGGGTTTTGATTATGGTTGTTTATTTTCGTTTTGTTTTGATGATATGTTAAAATTTTATGCCAGTGGTGGAAAATGTGAACGAACATGACGATTTTGGGGATCGAGCTCCAGAGAAATGTGGTATTTATTCTAATTCCATTTAGGGTTCCTTCAATTTTTGGTTTGGATTAGTTCAGTTTAGGTTTTTATTTAAGGTATTATTTGGTTGGGTGTGATGACTATGATTCATTAGGGTTTATTGTTATTATTAGGTAATGGCTATTTTGTGCTTGCTAATCCGAAAGATACAGCTGCCGAAACCAAGTCACTCCTTCAGGTATTTCACTAAGAATCTATGATATACGTGTATCTAAATGTTGCCGACTTTATGCTAGTTCCCGAGTCCACAATTTATTTCAATTGAACTGACGGTGACTAATTTCTTGTCTATTCGACTTTGATTTTGTGATTGCTGCATTGATAAGTGAATGGTAAATTCAAGAGGATTACAAGTATTGTATTTGTGGTCACGGGTGTTTAAGTGTCAACTGTCAATAGTATACTTACGATGTCTTCTATTTCTCACTTGTGAAACGATGACTGTAATTGGGGTTAGGATCTACTGGCTGCGAGTCACATTGTAATTCTTGGAACTTGCATGACTCAGCATCACAGAACTCTATTTGTGAACTTTAAATCGATTCTGTTAAATCGACATTTATCACAAAACTATGAAAAAACCTCTGCATGTCAGTGTATATGAGAAACAGTGTACTTTTATGCCTCGTATGATTTGACAAAATCCTCTGCTTAGGAATATGTTTAATGGAAAATGAACTCATATAATCTAGAAATATTCCGGAACGTTATTGCAGGAAGTATTAACTCTGTACACGAAAGAGCTACCTGCTATGAATTATGCTGCTAATACTGGAAAGCAGTCAATGTTCCTTCAAAGATGTGTAACAAATGGGTAAATACACTTAAACACTCCTTTTCGTTTCCTGGGCTAAGCTTGCATCCTATAACATTAAGTGCCTTTTATCATAAATATGCCATAGTTAGTCGAACTTTTTGTTTAACTTTATTGTATTAGAAATGTTAGTAGAACTAGTTGTAGTCTCCGTTTGATAACAATTAATCTGGTTGCTTTATTTATAGGAAATATTGCACATTACTTCTGAAGTCCAAGGATGATAAAGAACCTGGGAAGGTATGAATATACGATTGTCAGTATACTAATCTGCGGTTCTTGGATTGTATGATGAAATTATTTCACCTTTTTATTCACTCGATGGTTTGTTATAACCTCTCGCTTCTCTACTTTTAGCCTTTAATGCAATTTTGTATTTGTCAGATAGTTCGTTTCTTATCTTCTTACTGTTTGTTCTTTTGCCGTTTCTAATAGGTCATTGCAGCAATTACTTATCAAATAATTCCGGCTGATACACAGTATGCTGAGGTTCCTCTTGCTGCTGTCAGCTCAATCTTCCAATACAAGGTTCTTTTCCTTTTCTTTCGTATTTGTGAGTTTTGCACAATTGATTTTTTTATTTTTTTGGAATTTATTTGTATTTGACGAACTTCAGGGAATTGGCCGCTTGTTATGCTTAGAATTGAGAAAAAGACTGCAGAGTGTAGGTATTCGTACTCTATTTTGTTGGGCAGACAAAGAATCTGAAGGATTTTGGCTCAAACAGGTAAGCTACTCTTCAATTAGGTCCAATTTCATTGGTTGATTCATCCATTCAATTTATGTTTTCTGATGCTTCCATACTTGTATATTGTAATAATCACACATAACAAAAATGCTAATGTTTTTAATAGCGCTTGCGTATTTTTTTTATTTTATCTCAACAAATGCATCACAGTTGACTATTGAGCAGTTGTTACTAACGTAAGAGAAATCGGACTAATAACACTACATAGGCTACTGATTATATACTACATAGGGAATCAAAGCATTATACATATTTTTTGAAATAGTTGAACAATATGCAGGGTTTTACAGTGATTGGTGAAGTAGATAAAAAGGGTAAACCTCGCAGACTCCCAATCAAGGCTGATATTCGAAGAGCATTATGCTTTCCTGGTGGCTCAACTCTGATGGTGTCCAATCTTGTTAAAGATAGCTCATCCGAGTCAACCGAGCTTGTGAGTCTATGTTTACCAACAAAGTCTCTTGAGCTGAATTTTAGTAACCAAGAGCAGAAGCATATAACGGAGATCCATGAACTTTCCATCGAAGATAACCAGATAGTTAAGAGTGGATGTCTTCAGCCAGAAAACTTAGCAACTGAAGAAAAAATAGTTAATGGTAAGTATCTTCAGTTCAGTGTTTGATGCTAAAACATATCTTCAGTTCAATGTTTGATGCTAAAACATACCTTCAGTTCAATGTTTGATGCTAAAACATATTGCTAAAACAAGTTATACTTGTGTATTTTGTTCTTATAGGTTGCCAAGAATTAGCTCTTTTGCCAGTCACTAATGCTTCTGGAGTAAGAGAGGGCGGAAATGAAGACGGCGAAGCTAATTGCTCGTGTTCAGTTAAAGGGTCTAACAAAAGGAATTGGGTAGCCTCGTGCACCTCGTTGAAGTCAAAAAAAGTGAAGGGCACTCACTCGACCGAGTGTCAATTGGATTCTCACTGTCCTGTTTGGACTAGCAACGAGAGATTTGTTGCTAATTGCCTTGATCAGAACTGCTTGCTAATTACTGGAAATGAAAACTCTGGGAGTCATAGCATGCACGAATTAAACAAAGTATGCAGAGAAGGGAATATCGTAAATGAAAACCATGGCTGCACAGAAATCATATCTACAGCAAAATGCAATAGAATTATGCTGATGAACATTGTTGATGGTGATAAGAAATTACGCCTTACCAAGGTATTATACGAACGTAGAAAATAAGATACGATTTCAAAGCAACTGTTGGTATTCAGCATCATTATCTAAGTTCATTTCCTACTTATGGTGATTGAATTATGAAATTAAAAGCAACTATAGTAACACCTTCGCAATTTGCTTTGGTAATTTTCTTTTAAATGTAATGATAATTCTGCTGGTACAGATAATCGAAGATCTAGGTGGAGTGGTTTCTTCTGACGGAAGTGTATGCACACATGTTGTCACAGGGAAAGTCAGGCAGACATTGAATTTCTGCACGGCTCTATGTTCAGGGTCGGTTCTTGATTCTGATAATACTCTCTAAATAAATAAAAAAACGATACAACTTCTGTGTTAATTAGGTTTTTTTTGCTTTGCAGAGCTTGGGTGATTTCGTCTGGATGGTTGAAAGAGAGCTTCAAGAAGGGCAGATTTGTTGGTCAGTCACATTTTCGACTTTTAATATTTACTCGTAAATCGTTAACCTACCGAATTTCAATCTGGTAAACTATTATCTGCAGACGAAATGCCTTTCATCTTGAAAGATGAAGATTACGAAACAAAGTACAGAAGCGAGCTTAAAAGTGCAGTTCTTAGAGCACAAGCAAGTCCCGGAGCATTGCTCAAAGGTCTTGACATATGGCTCGCATCTCATGTACAACCTCCGGCCGATATTCTATCAGCAATTGTCAAATCTGCTGGAGGAAATGTAAGTCAACGAAAAATAGTTCAATAAAAACGAAGTTTCTTCGAAACTGTTCGATGATGTAATTTCGCTGAATAACAAAATATAGGTCATTCGGACAAGGAACGAAATCAAGAACGTGACAAAGACGATATTCGTGGCATGTGAAGAAGATACAGGAGAAGCTCTATTGGCCGTAAAGCTGGGGATTCGGACATTCAGCAGTGAGTGGCTTATGAACTGTACAATGAGGCAAGAACTTGATCTTGAGGCTCCTCAGTTTACCGAATCTCTTTAGGCTTTTAATATGTTACTATAATTTTGCATGGACATATGTATATATATATTATTATTATATGTTTTAGCAACGATATTGTTAATAAAGTAATAATTCCAGTTTAATTCAAATGTAATTTATTTGCAGGATCAATTTTTTTTTAATTTATTTATTTATTTTTAATTATTTTTCTGAAAAGAATAAAGATATTTTGTGAAATTGTGAACAAAAGAGAGTAGCGGCACGTGCCAAAGACTGGCGCCACTCGCAGGTTTTCAACTCGGACAAACAAACACTAGTAAAATATAAGAGTAGAACTTCCAACAATTCAATTAAGATTTACGAGCGTGTTTTCCGGCGGCGAACATCTATCTGCAAAACCCTTTTATCCTATATACTTAAAAAAAAGAAAAAGAAAATGGCGGCTGATTCTCTTCGGACAGGGTTATTGTTTAATGAAACCCAGTTCAAAAACTGTCGGAACTTCTCAAACAAAAACCCCAGAACACGCGCCGCCGCAAATTTCAGCTCAAGAGCTTCTCAAGAACCCTTAAATGACAGCAAGAACAAGTTCTACAAAGAATTGGGTTTGTTCTCTTCTCCCTTCACACGCTTACTGTGTGCCTGTTGTGTGTAAATTTCATATTTTTCTGTATTTAATATCTTTTTTTCTTTAATAGAATTATTGGGTTAAGTTGCAGTGACCAATATTTGTTGTGATAATTTATTTGTTGAAGATAGATAGATAACTAACTTTCTCTCTCTCTCTCTATATATATAACTTATAAGTGGATAAATTAGTTTCAGTTGTGGATATTATTTGTTATTCTCTGTAGCTTCTGTTGAGGAAGATAATGGGGGGCAAATTTAGCTTGTTTTTGTGAGATAATGGAGGGGGTCATGGCCCCCCATAGTAGGTTTTTGAAAAATGATGGAGGGGGGCATGGCCCCCCAATTAGTCTCCGTCGCGATTTAGTCTATCGAACTAATACAAGACTTGTAATGTTGTTGTGTGCTCGTTTTTTTTTTTTTTTTTGTGATGTAGGTATGTTTTCTCTGCGGAAGAGAATAGAAGATTCCGTTCTTCGTGCGGAGATGCTAACTCCAACAGCTTTGGAACTCGAAGAAGCGAACCACATAAACCAAGAAGAAGTTATTCGCGACTATGACTTGTGGGATGACCTAGGTAAATCGAACGACATCCTTATCAAACTGGCGAACAGTGCTAAGGTGGTCGATACTCTACGCGATCTTAAATATAAGGTAACTTATTTGGAGATGCATGGTTTCTTTTGCTTCACATTTTATTGTGTTCGATTGATATTTGTTTTTTTATGAAGTTATTTTTTGGGTTTTAATTATGTATGGATGCTGCAGGCAGAGGAAGCGAAACTTATTACAGAGCTTGCGGAGACAGATGCTATTAATTACGAGCTTTTCAAGCAAGCGTATAGTGCTTCTTTAGATGTTAACAAGTTTTTGGATAAGTATGAAATGTCGAAGCTTCTTAAAGAGCCGTACGATATGGAGGGAGCTTACATCACCCTTGAATCGAAATGTTCCGACATTTACTCCGAGGTTTTTTTTCCTTCTCTTTTTCCGGGCTCTTTTGATATTTTGGTGTCGGCTAAATTCATGTGGATTTTCTAGCTACACGATTTCTTTCAACTTAAAAAATCTATATTTTATAGTTTCAACTAATATCATTGAGTAGCTTATTGCATTCAGTACCCCTGTGTTATATCGAATTGCTAAAAAATCTCCGTGTTCTAATATTCGTAAAAAGCCCCCTATAATGGAATCTTTTTAGCCCCCCGCCTCACAAATGGTGAGATTTTAGGGGTAGTTTGCCAAAAAAAGTTGCATTATAGGGTGGTGTTTGCTAATTTTAATAACACGAGCACTTTTTTAACAATTAGAGTAAACACAAGGGTGCTGAATGCAATAAACCCAATTTTTTCTTATTCATGACCACAACATATAATAACTCTCCTAACAAGTCTACTGATTTGTAGTTACCGTATTTCGTTTTTGTCAAGGATAAATGTGAAATTGATTTTAATTTTTTTGATGAAGAGATGGACGGGTCAACTCGCGCAGATGTACATGAAATGGGCCGAAAGACAGGGTCATACGGGTAGGATAGTCGAGAGATGCCCTTCAAATAACGGCGGCCTAAAATCCGCCACCATAGAGTTGGAATTTAAATTTGCTTACGGATACTTATCTGGGGAAAGAGGTGTTCACTCTACTACAAGAATTTCCAAAAATACCCCTGCTCTTTCCGAGGTATGAAATTACTAATTTGACCTTCACAAACATATTAGTATACATTGTTGTAATAATAAGTACTGGATTAAAATTAGGACTTCATGATTATTGGTTCTTGAAATTTTAGGCTACATTGGCATATGTGGACGTAATTCCTCTATTCCTCGAATCATCTCCTGACTTGTCCATTGATGACGTGGATATTCTAGTTTCTTACCCTCCAAATTGCGACAAAAACCCGTCTAGGGCTTCGTCAGCAGTTCAGATTCAGCATATACCGACAGGTTTCCAAGTTCAATCCACAGGTAATAATAAAGCAAAAAAAAAAAGCATCTTCAAACAAATACATTCATTAATTTTAAAATCTTTGTTTTTTTTTTTTACGTGAACAGGGGAAAGGAGTCGATTTGCAAACAAGATAAAGGCGATGAATCGATTAAAGGCAAAACTTCTTGTTGTTATGAGGGATCGAGGATTATCGAGTGTGAAAAGTATTAATAAATGTGATGATAAATGGAGTGGAGTGACTCGTAAGTACGTTTTTCGGCCGACGAAAATGGTGCATGATTTGAAATCTGGTTCACAGTTTCCGGATGTGAATGGAGTATTGAATGGGAAGCTTGACCCTCTTATTGCTGCTCATATCAGTTCTCGACAACCTAGTACTGTCGATTAATTAATCGGCTTTTTAGATTTACTAATTACTGTCATTAAATTAATCTTGCTGGTAATTAATTGTTTTTCTGTTGTATGGGTAGTTTTGTTGTGTGTTGGATTGTTGATGAAATATTTTTTTTGGTGTGCTTTCTTGATTTTGATTTGTGTATTTTATACATTCATGATATCCACAAGGTTCGAATATCTTTTTCTTCTTTCCTATTTCATTTTTGCAACATTATTGATGAATTAATTCTTACACTTTTGTTAATTAGGGTCGAGTGGATTATTGAATCTAGCCCATTAATTCACTCTCCTATGAGGCGGCCTAACACGGTTATTTCTATGCTACAAGAGTCTAAGTACTCTCTAGAATTCCGTAATCTTGACTGTTGGTTCTCTTTACTTTAATCCTCATCGGCCATTCGAGGTATTTAACATTCACCTCTCTTCCAAATCATATATTTTGATCGTACCACCACGTTGAATGCGTTTTGGTATTTTCCCAGGAAATACGAGATCTAGGGATCCGGTAATGGTGATTTGTGCTTGTTGTTGTTGTTATTGTTGTTGTTGTTGTTGTTGTTGTTGTTGTTGTTGTTGTTGTTGTTGTTGTTGTTGTTGTTGTTGTTGTTGTTGAGTCTTCCTCTAACGAGGTGGAGACTCCATCTTCTGCAACCGTATGTGATCAAAATGTTGAATTCAACGTGCCTTCTGTGAACGATAACTTGCATGATTACAAAATTAATGGGTAAATTACAACCACCCATCAAATATGATAAAATAATGAAACCCCCTCCTATTTGGGTAATTACGACAACTCTCTCAACTATAAAATTTCTTACACGTCCTTCCTCTCCTGCGGTTTAAAATTTAGTGGAATCTTCTTGATTATATGGAACATCACTTGTGTACCTATTTTATCCCATTGGAGCTCCAAATTTTGAAACAAGATGATCATAAGATGTGTTTTCTGGCTTATATATCAGATTGTATTGCATCAGAAGCTGTAATTTTTACACAAAACGAGGTAAAACTAGAGCACATTCCACGGAATCTAATTGATTATGTTAAATTTGACACCATAAGGGTGAATGTGTAAGAAGATTCATAGTTGAAGGCTATATGTAATTATCCAAATAAGATGATTTTTTTTCATAATTTGACTATACCTGCTCAGGGTGCGGCTAAATTAATTAACTAACCTTAGATGGAAATGAAATCAAAATTCGAATGAAATTTAATGCAAATTTCAAGATGAAAATATAGGGGATATAAAGAATATACCAAAAAAGAAAAAGAGAAAAATATGATGGAGATTCTGTGTAAAACCCTAATAAAAGCACTTCAACCATGGAACACAAAATTGGCAAGGGCAAAACCGCCATTACAACTCCCACAGCAGCTATTATTTAAATAGCCGTTGCCCAATAACCGCATATTGAGTAGATACTCCGAAACACCGACGACACACACACACACACACACACACTCCGTTCGTGGTGAATCTTATATTCAGTTTCCCCCCCTTTGTGAGAAAGGAATTATGGCGATTCTGAACTAAGGTAAAAATTCCATTCTTTTGCTTCACTGTGCTTTTGTACTGAATTATTTTTTTGATTGCGCTGCGATTGATGAGTGAGTAAGCATTTGTATCATGTTTTGAATTCCGTTTATTGATTGCCACGAATCGATTTGGGGGTTTTCTGATTTTTAGGGTTTATGATTGGATGTTAGAGCTTGAAATTTCATATATGGTTTATATTAGTTATTAATTAACATTATTGTTTATTGCCAAAACTTAGTACATCCTGTCCTGAAATGGGACATGATTCATCAATAGTTGTTCTTGATTTGGGAGAGAGGATTATATCCCCTCTTTATGGGATTGCCTAATTTAATGGAACTTAGATATATGTTCCGAATAGTAGGAATATTATACCTGATGCGAACGGACAAAACCGAAATCATATTTCTTACATGTTAGTCAATGTTACGGTATTATGTATACGTTTTCATTCAGTAAGGATCCATTTTTTCTCATATTTCAGGTAACACGCTTATACTATTTGGAAACTCGATTTACCTATGCTTAAATTTAAAAACCTTTTTCTGAGGCAGCAGTTGGTTGGCCTTTCAGGCTTCTACCGAAGTGAACGCCTATTTCCTTCATGGGCAGCTTCATGCTTGCCTCTTTGCTTCAATGCAGTTGATCTAGCTGGAACCAAAAATCTGCACTCTCACGGGCACAAAGGGCAAAAAGGTAATAAATGCTTTAGTAGATACTTGTATGATTTTTCAGCTTATAGTGAATTTTTCTCAAGCTCTCTCTCTCTCTATGTTTTAGGATTTACAGAAAGGAAGCTTTCATCCCAGGTCCTGGACCCGATGGAGAGAAATACGTTGATTGGAGAAAATACACAAAATGGACATCTTCCATCCACATATGATGCTGCCATGGAAGCACTTTCGTCTCTCATTACTAGCAAAAGACGAGGAGATAGATCTGCAATAAATAGTAAATATAGCAAATTGGACAGGATGATGATGTATATTAAGGTAACACAGTGAAAATATAGCTCGTTCTTTAACTTTCTTGTTATGAAACTGCAACATAATTCATAAACTCACTTTATGGGTTTTACGTCAATCACTTTCTGCATTAGATTTGGACAATTCTGTCATTTATTTATGCTTACCAGCATTAATTTTCAAGAAATGTGTTACTTGATTATTAACTTATAGCCTGTCTCTTGTGGCTTCAAACTTGGGTCCCACGAAGCTTTACAAGCATTTAAATGCTTGACAAGCAACTTTTACTCTGTTCCCCTAGTTGAATCTTATTTTTAAACTATTTTATTTGTTTATTGTATTTAATGCTGATGCATTAATGTGATTTTCAGTTGATGATTATTTTTGTTACACACACATTCATGGAATTGCGTGTAAGTAACAAATAAATGCATATTCTCTTGGCAGATTTTGGATTTGGAGGAACCGGTAGAAGGACTTAAGATTATTCACGTTGCAGGAACTAAAGGAAAGGTATTGATGTTATTATGGAATTTTCTATTTCTCTTTTCTTAGACACACTTCTCTCTTCAAGTTGTACTAAATTTTCATATTTCAGGGTTCGACGTGCACATTTTGTGAGGCAATTCTGAGAGAGTGTGGATTCAAAACTGGACTTTTTACTTCTCCGCACTTAATTGATGTGAGAGAAAGATTTCGTCTAGACGGGTTAGCATTTCAAATTTAACTAAATTTTTCTAGTTTTTTTTTACAAATTTTTATATCATATGGCTATATTTTCTCATATTATACCGACCTTTATTATTGAAAGGCTATTTTGCATAAATACCCCTCTTGTTGGCAAGAGTTACATGTTTGACCCTGAACCATATTATGCAAATGCCGACCCATTTCCACTTTTTATGTACATTGTAGCTTGCATAACATTAGCAACAATTGTGCAGTGAATAATACACAAAGATATGGGCATAATAATTGAGACAGTGCTACTGAACACAACATCTACTAGATTGATATGCAATAAATGAGATGTTGAATTTGCTTTTATAGAAACTACTGCCTTGGACCGTAAAATATTTTTATGACATGCAAATAAAAAAATTATGAAGCTCATATTGTAGCTCACTTTTCTGAAGGTCAACTCTTTTGTGTAATATTCTTCTTTGATAATATAGATATTTGTATATAGCTTGAGATCGTTATTCGTTGCGTTTCATGTTCTGTTCTCTCTGACTCGTAGGTCGGATATATCCGAAGAAAAATTTCTACATTATTTTTGGGAATGTTGGTCAGCTCAAGGTATAGTGATATACTAGTTTAATGCTCTGGTTTGTTTTTGATCTTCCATGTTTGAACTCCTACGTGCCCCAGTAAAAAATAATTTGGGTTCTATTTTTATTATTTGTTAACTATTTAGTCCTTATTAAAAATTCTTTTTAAAGCAGGAGAATGTCAGAGATGATTTGCCTATGCCTCCACTTTTCCAGTTCCTTACTGTGTTGGCCTTCAAAATTTTTGCAAGTGAAAAGGTACCGTATTGATGTCTTTTAGCACTCTCTTTCTCTCTCTGTTTCTGTCTCTCTCTCTCTCTCTCTCTCTCTCTCTCTCTCACACACACACACACACACACACACACACACACACACACACACACACACACACACACACACACACACACACACACACACACACACACATCACACACACACACTTACTCTTGTCTTTGTTGTTAACATACATAAAGGTCATTGCTTATATATTTTCAAAAACAC